CGCTGAGATGCATCATCGCGGAAGGGCCGGCCGGTCCTGGGAGCTCGTGGGAGCGGAGGGCAGACCTCTCCAAGGAATCATCAGCTGATTCTTAAGCAACTGAAGAGAGTGACGTGTGCCATGCTGGGGTGGTGGAGGCTGAGTCTTACTCTCAATTTCCATTAAATGAGTGTGGGGAGTCAATGCCTAACTGAGCGTTTGTCCTGAGAACACCCAGGGGCCCCTGGGTCGCTTGGTCTTTTTCAGAAGAATTCTCAGACAGGAAAATGTGCAGAATGTCTATTTACTAAAATAGTTTCGACATCTTTTATGTAACGCTGATGCATCTGGAAGTGAAAATGCTAAGAGTTTCATTTCACTAAAAATGGAATTTTTTTTTTACTTTGACCTTTAACTTCAGATCACGATTAGTGACATTTTCAGTGTAAGTCTTAAGAGTATCAAAGCATGTGTGTTCATTGACACGTTGGACCAGTATTTGCTGAGCATATTTACGTGCAAAGGACTGTTCAGGTTGTTATGAAAAATGACTCTCAGTATCTCACCGTCTAGAGAGGGAAACAGATCATTCATTACATGACAGGACAAATACAATAGATGTGGAAGCCTGTCACAGAGGAGGTGACATCTGAGCTGAATCTGAAAGGAAGGGTAACATTTGAGTGAGTAAGAAGGGCATTCCCAATTGAGGGACCAATGTAAAAAAAATGGCATTTTGCCCTGTAAATTTCTAAAGTTTCATTGGATATTATGACACAAACATCATGGTAATGAAATGACTAGGAAATTCAGATAAAAATATCTAAATAAATTAAGACTTTTTTGGCTAAATTTGTTTGCCCTACCTTTTCATCTTAATTATATTGCAAAGAACAATATGTTTGCATTATGTTAATCTGGCTAAGAGGTGTGGCCAATGATAGAATTCTAATTCAGTTTAAAAGTAGTTCAAAACCCTAGTGGAAATACAATTAAGAATTTAGCATTTTTATAATATTTCCCCTCTGTAACTCTCGTACTTCTCAGAAAATGGTGTTAAGTCCCAAATAAAAATCTGTCTCGTTTTATCATTTATCACAGAGATAAAGATGAGTTGAGAATAGAAATCTCAAAATGCAATGATAGGACCTTACATTTCCATAGTGCACAGTCTATAAAGTACTGTAATATTTGTTATTTAAATTGAGCCATATACCACAGAAGGAGCAATATAAAACTAAATTACAAGTTTGCTTTTCAGACTAAGCTGTTACCCGTACATTCTGCTCCACTGTGTACTGGTAGCACTTGTAAACAATTCATTCCTACATTATTTTTTTCCTGAAAAACCTGTTGCAAAATTGTCTTTCTTCTTTTCCACCTCTTTGCATAGTCTATTTCATTAAATTTTTTTCTGACAGGTAATTAGGTTTCTTCATGGATTTCCACTTGGAGGAGGTACTGGGGATTGAACCCAGGACCTCTTGCATGCTGAGCATGCAGTCTACCACTTGAGCTATACTCTTCCCCCTATTTCATTAAATTTTAGCAATTCTAACTCAGAATAGCATCGAATAGACAACACGTGGAACGTGTGTGCTATTAATTCGAACGTCTTATGGCATGTTCATTAGACAAATACATAATATTTATAAAGTCTGTCCAGTAATTAAAAGAAATGGATGAATATGCGTCACTATTTTGCCTTTTTTTAGGAAAAGAAATAATTTGCAGTAAGCGTTTCTAATTATTTCAGCAATATTTATAGTGCTTGAATGATAATATTTGTTGTTTCTGCCATTTAGATTTTATAGATAAACTTTGGACGGAAATACTTCTTTTCTCTTGAAACGTCTGCGCCTCTACACATACATTACAGGTTACTGAAACAACAATTTGGCCTTCAGCTGCAGTGAATAAAACTCTCCTTTATCCTCAGTTTGCTGAGGGCCTCTCTGATGACTTCTCTTATGGCCTTACAGAGATGTGAATGCTAATTAATATTTTAATGGAAAAAAATGTTGGTGAATAAAACTGTTAAATTTGAAGTGTGAATTATAAATTCACTTGGTTGCCCTGTTTTTAGAGTGCGTCCAGTATGCTGAGCTCTGTGCTAAACATTTCACTTGTAGCTAGTATTTAATTTTCCCGACTACTATGTGAGGTGGGTGTAGTGATGCCCGTTTAACAGATGAATTTGTAACTATTATGTCTCACAACATTTAATAATAATTTAAATATACTATATTAATAATATATCTTAAATACAGAACTTGGGAGCTTTACACATACTTCATATATGCATATAAGTCTTCTTTTGTTCATTCAACTAATATTTATTTATTGACTATATATGTGCTAGGCTTCTGTGTTAAACTGTGGGGATAGGGTGATGAGGTAATACCCACCCTGCTCCTGCCTTTAAGGGGCTTAAGATGTTTGATGTACTGGGAGAGATGGACTTGCCTAAGACACAAGTACAAGAAAATATGATAATTGCATTCATAGGGGTAGGTACAGAGTGTTGTAGAAAAATGGGAAGGGAGGACCTCAGCTTCCTGGAAGGTATTAGAGAGGCCTTCACAGAAGACTTGAGGAATGAGTCTGAGTTTGGGAAGATGATCAGAGGGGAGAGTGCAGAGGGAATGGAATAGATGGGGTGTGGACATGGGCCGGAGTGAGGGAGGCTTGGTCAGGGGGCTACAGGGATTCAGAGGGGGTGAGCATTAAGTGCAGCTGGAGGAGGGTCACGGCTGGCTGGGGTCAGATCACAAGGAGCATGGCCTGCTGTTTTAAGGAGGGCAGACCTTATGCTCTGTGTGTTGAAAAGTCATCAGCAAATTAACTCAACAAACACTCGTTCAGTTATGATAAGAGATGTCCTTCTCGCCTTCTTCCCTCCTCTTCTCACTGGAAAACCACTGCAGTGCTTCGGGCAGGAGCTAAGGATGGGCTGTGGGAGAACGGGCTGCAAGGTGGCAGGGGTGGAAGCAGAAGCAGGGAGACCAACTGAGAGGCCAGCGTAATAGTCTGATGAGTTGTGATGGTGGGCGGCCTGGAGGGGAGGAGGTGGTAGGAGAGGGTAGTGTTCTGGTGGCAGAATCAGTGGCCCAGTGGTTGGGTATGGGACATAATTTAGAAAAGGAAGTTGTCAGAATGTTGTCGGTACCACTGCTGAGCTAGGGAAACATAGGAAGAGGAAGGTCCACTCTGCTTGGATTTCCAGAAAACTCCAGGGGAGGTGGAGGAAGACATCAAAAGGAATTGAGATTGGAAGTTGGTCTCAATGAGTAGGCATTTTCTAGACGGCAGGGAGGGCAAAGGCATGCTAATCAGAAGGAGTGGTATGTTCAAAGGCACAGGAGCATAACCGAAATGGTGCAAATAAATAACTACACATGCACACAGGTACAAAAAGGAAATTAATATGTGACCCATAAATAACTTCTGTTGGATCCCTTTTTTTAAAGTTTTTTTTCAGAGGGGAGGTAATTAGGTTTATTTACTTAATTATTTTTAAGGGAGGTACTGGGGATTGAACCCAGGACCTTGTGAATGTGAAGCACGCTCTCAACCACTAAGCTATACCCTCCCTCAACTTGTTGGTTTCTTGATATTCTCATATCTGTTTTTGTGTTGCAGTCATTCTAAGACCTATAGTAGGAACAATTTCTAAAAAGATTAAAATGTTTAAATATTTTTTTACACCATAGACATATAATATAGAGAAATTCCTCTCTTTACTTCCATATTTTAAGTTAGAGATTCACTTACGGCTCTTGATTATGTTATCTACCTTCTTTCTAATAAAATTTAGCCATTTGGGTCAGACTTGGATTTTTAGGTTTTTTCTTAGTGGTTTGGCATCTGGATTTGGGATTAATCAGCATTTTTAATTTACTGAAATACCTATAAATTTACTGCTGATGGAAATATGAACATGTTGATTTCAGTTTAGCTTGAGAACTAAAATCAAGGGACAGTCAAATCCAAAAAAAGGTTAGTCATGCTAAAACTTAGGTGACATGTCAACTCTGGAGAGAAATAGAGTGATGTTGATTTAATACTTAACTTTTTATCGTAAGTATGAGTATTGATAATCAAATCAACTTTGGAGAGATGGCATAGCACTGAAATTATGAGCACAGCCTCTGTGAAAGACAGTGGCTTAAATACCGCCTTTACCATCTGCTAGCCATACAAACGCTCAGTTTCTTGTCAATAACAGAGATAATAATGACCAGCTACCTCACAGGGCGCAATGGAGTGGGGTATTGTGTGTAAAGCGGTCGGTCACACAGTGCCAGGAACACAGTCAGTGTTCAGTCAACGTCTGTGATGAGTTTGAATATCCCTGATACTGTGCTTTACCTGAGTCATCCACAGAAAGGCATGTAGAATTTTGAAAGTGAAAGTCAGGCTGTTTTGGTAAACACATGTGCTGAACTGGCTTACCTCTGTGGCTGGGAGGAATCTTAGAGAGGAGCAGATTCAGCCATGTTGCTGACATTTTCTGGGGAAGAAACAATTGTTTTTCATTTCTCTGAAGTTTGGGAATCGTTAGACAGAGAAGGAGGGGAAGGAACAAGATTATTTTGATGATGTCGTCCCTAAGGTCAGGGGACGGGATGGGAAGCAGCCCTGGGGCAGAGCCCTCCCATCCTCAGCTGTGTCTGCTTGCTGAGTTTTTTGACATTCTGAATTTAGAGGTGTGTGTGTGTGTGTGTGTGTGTGTGTGTGTGTGTGTGTGTGTGTGTGGGGTGGGGCGGGGAGACTGCGTG